CCATAGACCATGCAAGACACTGCTTTACTCGGGGCAGTGATGTATTCTGATAACTGTGTGTGTGTCTGTGTGTCTGTGTGTGCACGCACGTGTGCATGTGTGCATATTCTTGTGTCATGCCTGCCGGTACGGTGGCTTGATCTCAGGGCCTGGCTGCTGCCACCCCTTATCTTTTTTTTCTCTAACCCTTGAGCCATAGCTCTGCTTTGGCTTTTGTGGTGGTTAACTGGAGCTAAGAGTCTCATAGACTTCACTGACTGAGCTGGCTTCCAACTGCAATCTTCAGATCTCAGCTTCTTGAATAGCTAGGATTACAGGCATGAGCCACCTGCACCTGGCTTGCTTGATGATGTCCTTGAAAGTAGCTTGTAGGTTCTTAAATGTAACTTCTCACAGGGTGGGTTTCAAATCTTCTGTATATAGCCAAGCATCGTTACGCTGTTGAGAACACATGAAGACCTGAGTGCTTGCTGGACAGTCTTAGGAGAAGGCAGAGCTGTTCCCCACCCAGATGCCATTACGTCTGCCACACGCATCAGGCCCGAGTTCACACCATGCTAACCTGCCCAGGAGCCCTGTCTTTGCCATGGAAAGCCGCACTGCTCCTGGCATTGCTTGTGTTAAATCTGTGTCCCTCCTGCCCCATTCTCAGTCTGCAGTGACCACATTAGTCACACAGTGGCCTGTGTGACCCTGAACTTCCTGAGAAGAGACAAGAATACGGAGAGCTCTGAAATAGGACAATTCTTGGCATTCATGCAAGCTGAGTGATACAAATACTGCCTGCACTGCATAAAGCAGAGCGATTTCAGTCAATTGCCCACACATTTTACAAGGGAGTAAAAGGCACAGTGTAGAATATGTCTGCATATCTACTTCGTTGGAGAATGCATCCTACTGAAAGGCTCTTGATAGGCCCTGCCTTAATGCTGTGCCCACCAAGTGCTGGTTGTTGGTAGAGGCTTCAGAGAGCACATTTATGCTAAAACTGCTCCTTCCTGAACAAAGACAGATCCGAAGCTCACTGAGGTTAACTGCCTAAGGTGAAAACTTCCTTTCCTTTGACGCTTCAGAAATGCACATAAGCAAATGAGACTAATGAAAGAATCCCATTAATCTAGAAGAGAAAGAAAATCCTGAAAGTCGTTCTGTGTTATACAGATTCTTTCCCAGAGTCAAAGCCCCTAGGAAGGGCTTCCCTGAGGAGCATCATTGTGAAAATAAGTTCTATTAGAGAGATACACTAAAGACAACAGATATGCTCCAAGAAACACAGAGGCTAAAAGATGCTGTCCAAACTCAAAGAGCATTATCCGCTTCTTCAGCCCTGTCCTGACATCATAAATAAGAGAAATCCCAAGCCCTTATTGGCTCAGGTCAAACTGGGAGACTCTGAGGCCAGACTTGTCACTTAGACTCAGTTATGGGTTCAGAGGTGCCTTTTTTCACCAAGACTTCTTAATGAGAGTGAAATTCTATGCAAAGCCCCTTGGTGTTTAATTGCAGGTGATGTGAACAGTTGACTCAACCCAGCTTCTCAGCACTGTCCCACTTAATGACCTGCAGGCCATTGGATATTTCCCAAAAACAACTTGGAAAAGGAGAATTGGTCGTGCAATTCTTTATTGTGTCACAGGAAGACTATATAATAGTCCATATAAAGTAGAGTGTGTTAGTCTGGGTTTTACTTTGGTATGCAACTAAAGCACCCGTTTCCAAACTCAGCCAGGGACATAAAGTAAGCTCTATAAATTTCCTTGTTTTCATGGGCCCTCTCCCCCACTTCTCCTTCAGGGATTGGTTGTTTGCTTTTCACAAGTTGATGTTGATGTCCTTTGACTTTGCTGTTTTGCTCAAGTCAATGCTAGCTATATTGGCCATTGTAGAATGTCCGCCTGGGAAATGAGCAGATGCTACCACGTGCTGTCAGATCTTACAGATAGATGTTCCAGCGCAGCACAGCTCTTGGCTGGTCTTTCTACTCCCCAAAATTCTGCAGGACCCCAGCCTGAGGAGGAGGGGTAGGGGATTCTACTTTGCCTTCCTTAGACTCTGCTGCCCTCCTCAAGATTCTAATCTGGAAAAGAAGGCTGGGAAATTTGAGGTGCTGCCAAATGAATGACCTTGGGCCCAGAGAGCCGCCTTGGAGTTTGGAACCTCTTGCTTCGTTGTGGCCTGCGTACCCAGGGCCCCAGGTTGGAGGGAGAGGTGAAGCTCTCACACTCGATGAGGGTCTCCTACTCTGTGTGCTTGCTCTGGTACTGAGTGCTTTTCCTTGGTGGTGATTAATTCCAAAGTGAAGTAACCCTGTGCGCCTTGATTTAAGGTTCTGTATCCTTAGATGGCCACGAGCCAGGCTTTGTGCCAGGTTTTGATACACTGGAATGAAAGGCTTTCTTGGGATACTTCCTCTGTGTATATTGCTTGTCCTATCCATATTGTTATGAAGCAGTTAAAATGTGGCCATTGTACCTGAGGAACTGAGTTTTCAGTTTTTACTAATTGTGAGTTGGTGTTTCAGTGGCTCATGGGCAGACACCCACTCTATTGGACAGGGAAGCTCCGGGGCTTTAAGGCACACTGTTGGGTGGTAGTCTGTACGTTGAGCATATTGCTGGAATGCACTGATCATGCTAGACATCAATCAATCCTAAATGTTCAATTGCCATCAATCCAACTGTCTCTTCCCATCCCAAACTTCACTGGCCTGGAAGACTATGCCTTAGCCTCTAGCATGCATTGTCCCATGGAGTCACTTCTGTCATTGGGCTGTACACCCTGAAGGTCACCTGTGTAGTCCTTGCTCTCCCTGTAAGATGAGCAGTGAGACACAGAGGGGGACAGTGCTATTTGGGTATCCAGGGCCAGGATCCTGCCCAGATTGGCCTCCTGAATCTTAGAAGCACTTCACTGTTCAAAGCCTGTCTCAAACAATCGAGAGCAATCTGGTCTGAAAATCACGTCCCATACTTGTTCTAATAATAGAAGAGATGCCCGGCCTTTTAAGCATGGTTTTCCTTCTGTAGTGTTCCTGTGGATGCTTAGCAATACAAACATTGACGTTTGGTTTGACATTGCTGGATGAACTTCATTCTTCACATGATGATGGGGGTGTTTCTCCTCTATGCTGTCTACCTTATGTCAAAGTCAGTGATTAGCTCATTGTTTGTTTTAGATACTACGAATTCAACCCAGACACTTGTACATGGGAGGCATGTGCTGTACTTCAGAACCACATCCTCCTCTGGAGCTTTTTTTTTTGTTGTTGGTTGTCGGTCATGGGGCCTGAACTCTGGACCTGGGTGCTGTCCCTCAGCATTTCAGCTCAAGCCGAACGCCCTACCACTTGAGCTATAGCTCCACTTGTAGCTTTTTTTCTGCTTATCTGTTGCTGAGGAATCAAACTCAGGGCCTCATGCATGTGAGATAGGCACTCTGCCACTGAGCCACCTTCCCAGCCCCTCCACTGGAGCTTTTAATGTGGACATGGGACTGGGGCCTAGTGGTCTACAGATTCCTGATGTGACCCTCCTCCCCAGCCTGTCTCGTTCTTGCTAGGTATGGATTCAAGAATGAATGAATGAGATGGGGTGAAGATGGAGATGTGATCACAAGATTCAACTAGGCCTCCTGAAAGTTTGTGATGTTGGTCTACAGCCATACAACCCTGAAATGCATCCAATATCATCTGAAAACCCGACGGATGCTATTAGACTTCCTATCAATCTCCTGCTTAATTATATTTCGCTAGCAGCTCTTTTGCTTAATAACAACTGCAATTTTGTGTAACCTAGAGGTTGGGGGTGGATATTGAGAATTAGCTCATTCTGCAGAACATCCCCTATACCAAGCAGAAGCATCTGGAAACTAGGGCAGGGGCTATAGCAGGTACCTGGCCATCGAAGGCAACACCGCAGCTGCCTTCCTCTCCTGAAATGTGGGGCTGTTTCTTCTCCATTGCCTGTGATAAGCCAATGATATGTAGTTAACCAAGGCCAGCCCCTTGGGAGTCACGTGCCCCAGGTGGTTTGCTGCCCTGGTAATGCACTCCTGGCCAGCTGGCCTGCCTGCCTGCCTGCCTTTATGCTGCTCTCTGTTCTCTTCTCCCACAGAGGAAGGGTGCAGGTCACACAAGGCAACAGATCACTGCCTCTGATCCAACTGCAGAACACAGGCTGGAGCAATTCCAGACGCTTGCCGGAGGGAACGGCAATGGGAAGGCCAAGCTGTTCAAATACAGGCAGGCAATCCAGGGGCTCCGTGCACAGGAGCACCGAGTGAGAGCAGCACTGGCGATTTGCATCAGCCTATCTCTCAGCCTGCTATGGAGTTCAACAGCTGGGTCTGTGTTCAGGGCATTTGTTCCTAAAGTTGCTCTTTACAAGATGGTCCAGTCCAATACACAGCTCAGCAGGGCTGGCTGTGAAGTTGGTATTATTCCCTGTGCAGGCTGGCCTGACAGGGTGGGCAGTTCGTGGGGCCAGCGGTCTGCATCCTCATGGTGAGGTGAGACTTCTCTAAGGAAGAGGGGCACTGTGGCTTTGTGCTTCAGGAAAATATATAGCCTATTATTTAGAATCTTATATAGTGCTGGATATAATGCCATTTTGATTATTTCTTATGAGTTCATAAGTCAGCATTAACTTTCTCCAATGCCATCTGAAAAATAGTTTTTCCTCCTCCATAATGTGATTTCTAAGAGGCACATAGCTTCTTACCTAGGTATTTTACATTGGGGTATAAATCACATATTATCACAATCATAAATGCATAATCCTAGAATAAAAGATAAGAGGCATCAAGTCATGATCTGAGTCCAGGTGAATGCCAGCCCGGTTGACCTGAAAAGTGCGCCTGGCATGAGACCTGGTCCCTTCAGCTCTTTGTGACCCTCACAGCTCGAGGCCTTTAGACTATAGCCTGCTGACGAAGAGCTGGCATTCTAGATGGAGCCCTCCCCCTGCCCACCCCAGGTGACAAGACCCAGCAAGCGTACATACCCTTCCCGGTGGGCCTCTCCTTTCTCCAACTCCTGGATCACGCCCAGGAGCACCTTGATGGTCTCTTGACTGGAGCTGATCAAGTTCTCCATCACCTGAAGCTGGGCCTTGAGGTCCACCACTTCCGTATGAGGCACAATTTGTTGGCTTTCTTCACTCGCCGCCACGGCCGTGGGACTGGGCTGGGGCTGCGGGGTCTGGCCACTACATTCGGGGGACAGGCACGGCGCTGGAGGCGAGCAGGCCGGCGCGGGCCCCTGGGGCCTCTGCAGCCCGTTGAGCTGGGCAGCGCGCCTGGGCTCCTCCTCCGCAGGGCAGAGGGACCACTGGCTGGCTGCAGCAGAGTTTGACAAGCCAGGCTCGGGGGTCCTGGCACAGACGGCGGGCGGGTACTCCGCAGCAACCTCGGTCTTAAACACCCTCCCGTGGGCAGGCGGAGTGGGCTCCTCGGAGTCCGGGGTCCCGCTGCCCGGCCTGGCTCCCCCCTCCAGCTGCTGGCCAGGCTCCTCAGAGGGTGGCCCGGAGGAGCTCTGGAGCAGAGGATCGGGATGGCTGAGCGCCTCGGGGTTCTTAAAGGGCTCGGCACAGTTCACCCCGAAAGGCTGTTCCAGAGCGTTCATATGCTCGTGGGAGTGGAACAAGGCGGTGGTCTTGTGGACGCGGCCCGCGCTGCAAGGCCGGGTGTCCCCCAGGGGTCCCGCTTCGCCCCTCTCCCTGGTGTCCGTGAGGAAGCCATTGTCCTGGCTTCTGCAGGGATCGGCGGCCGGGCCTCCTTTGAGGCTCCCTTTCTTGCGGTCCAGGGGGAAGGTCTGGTAGCACTTCTTTAGGTCTGGAGAGGTCTGCACCCCTGTGCTCTTGGTGACGTTGGGGATGGAGCGGCGTGCGGGCACGGTCATGTACTTGCGGTAGGCCGCCCTACAGGACACAGGCTTGGCCTCTGGCCTCTCTATCCCCGGCCCCGAGGAGGCGATCTGGGGGTCCCGCTGCTCGTTCTGAGCCTCGCAGATGTCCTTGAAGCGCACCTGCAGGGCTTTGTTTCGCTTCTTGATCTGTCGGTTGGGGTCCAGTGCATATTTCATCTCCACTTCCACTTCCCGCTCGGGCGTGGTGAGCGGGCAGCTGCCGGAGTCCTTGCTGACCATGGTTCCTGCATGCAGAGACAGCAACAGAGGCGTCAGGGGGGGACACATGCAAACGCCGCCTCTGCACGTCCAGCCAAACCACCGCTGCCGGCTTCCTAATTATTTTTAAACAGGTGGGTCGGCCTTTATGTTAAGGAAAATCAGACAGGCGGGGAGTTGCTGGCAGGCACAGCGTGAAATGCTTCTCAGATATTAAAGCCTGCTTGGCTTTTCCAGGTGGGATACTCTTGGTTTTCTTTTGATAGTAATACATGTTTCCCCATTAGGCAAACCTTTTTTTTACTATATTCATCAAGAAGCCCAACGCTTCCGCCTTGTCTGCTTTGCAAATTATCTTTTCACATGGGTGTCTCCACTCCAAAGACAGATGGTTTACCAAATGCAAACTTTATTTGTGGTTTTTTTTGTTGTTGTTATTTTGTTTTAAACTATGATTGGAATGGAAGAGAGCTGCTGTTTCACAGACTGACTGAAGTGGTCCCACCCAATGGACAGCGCTGGGGTAAAGAACTAGACAGACAGTTCAGCTCAGCTGGCTTGCCTTCCCTGGGCATTTTGAACACAGATACACATCATGGCGCAGTGTTTGACGTCTCATGAGTCAACCTCAGCCCCCAAAGCAATTTGGGTTTCTCTACCTCTACAAACATGGCTGAAACAACTTTTTCCTTTGATTCCATGGAGAAGTGGTATTTGCAACTACTTAGAAAGAGAGAGAAAGAGACATTATTCATTCTAGAAGCAAGTTTTGTGTTTTGATCATCACCTCTGGAAATGAAAACAATGGTAGTTGTTTCAGTATTTAAATCCAGAAAGAAGAAAAACTTGCGAGGCTTTATGATAATCATGCAAATTCATCCTGGGCTGAATTATTAAATGCAGCTAAAGAGATGCAGGTGGCGACGAGGCCTCTGGGGAACACCAGAGGGGTAAATGCCTTCACTTTATTAGCAGATTCACAGCTGTGTACTGCACATGCAAGAACTTTTTTCTGGGATGAACTTAAAGCCAGATGAACATAAGCAGGCTGTGAGCTAGACTGTGTGCAGTGTAGACCTGGCCTTTGAGCAGAAGAGTCTTCTGGGAAGGACAACACTGTACGGGCCCAGGCATCCGGAACCAAATCTCCAGTGAGTCAAGGTCAAACACAAATCTACACACCACGCCCAGTGCCCACAGGCCTCACACTGTCCTCACGGGGCTACGCACCCAGTGGAAAGATCTGGAACAGAAGTTCTTGCTTCTGTGGTAGCCACCACTTACAGGGTCAGTGAGCCTGTGGGTAGGTGGGTGTTCAGCTAGTCCACATATGAAATACCATCCTTACCAGTGCCTCTGAAGTCCTGGCTATTCAGGAGATCTGAGGAGTGCAGATCAAAGCAGCCCAGGCAGGAAAGTCTATGACACTCTTGTCTCTCATTAACCAGCAAAAAGTCAGAAGTGGAGCTCTGGCTCAAGTGGTAGAGCACCTTTGTTGAGCGGAAAACCTAAGAGCTATTGCCCGGGCTCTGAGTTCAAGATCTAATCCTAGGATTAAGAAAGACAAAAAGCTACTGAAGGTCAGTGCCAGGCCTGCTGTTCCATGGAGGAACGCAGGGTTCCAAGAATGATGTCACTTGTTGAACAAGCAAGAAGCACAGTCCCTACGGCAGGACATCGCAAATCAACACTGTTTCAGACCCGAGGTGTCCATCAGCCAGGACCCAGAGCCCCCGCGTCCTCAGTCCACACGGACTCACACCACTGGCAGCAGGCCTGGTGGCTCGGGGAAAAGGAAGTAGACAGGATACCACCGCACGATGCGGAGCTCCGCCGCCCACTTCTCTCAAGTCACCTGTGCCTGTCAAGCCTCCGGGCCTTGTCGTTTCCCAAGCTGCACCAGTGCTTCCTAAACAGAAGGCTCTAGAAGAAAACCAAGTCCGTAACTTAGGCTGAGAACCAGCTGGGGATCATGTGTGGGCATAACAGAAAGCAACCCATGACATGTGGTTCTGCTTAGACCAGGCTTTCTCAGCCACAACACTACTGGTGTTTTACTTTAGACAACTTGCTGTTGTCCTGAAGAGTGGGGCTTCATCACCATCAACAGTATTAGCCTGGCTTCTAACTACCCAAGAGGAGGAGGACACCAGTTAGAAACGGACATTGCTAACTGAGTTCAGGGGCCTGAGATGCGTGCGCTAGCCTGGATGCCTGCTCTGTGGTACCATGGTGTTCAGGAAGGCAAGGCTTGCAGAGAAGTCTGGCGTTTTTCTATGTGCTGAGGATATTTGCACACCTCCGTCATCTGAAACTCTACCCACAAGTAGCTTTTTATGAAGGAGACCAAAAGCAAGGACAGACCAGAGGTGCATCAGCATCCGGGCTCATTCTGCTGGGACACAATGACAGGTGTGCAGGGCAGGGTGTGTCTGCTGGCATAGATAATAGATATCTTTCAGAAGCACTTTTCCCAACAGGTTAAAAAGATGTGCACAAAGGAAGTTGGTGTAGGGGAAGAGGATGGGAAAATTAAATCCTAACCCTCAGTGCTATCTCATATCCATGCTGTCCAGGTGTGTCAGAATGCATTGTACCATCATTCTACAGAAGGCCTTCATACTAGGAGAAATTTGAAAGAGAGAGCATTTTTACAAAAAGCAATTTACTAGTAATTTTTCAGCCTTTTCCCTGCCACTACTGAAAAATGTGTGTCTGAATAAGTTTGTCCTGCTATGCTATTCATCATCACGATTTGCCAGGAACTGCACCGAACCCATTTCTGACATCATTTCTGCTGGTTTGGAATGCCATTCTGAGTGTTGGTCCCAACCATTGAACACATAAAGACAAATCAGAAGAATTAATTGTTGGTGGCTAAATAGTATTGGTGGGAAAAAAATCTAAGCCCTTCTCTTCTTTATGGAGCTGCTAAGTACATGGAATTAATTGCTTTATTTGTAATACTGGTGGCAGTGCTTAGGACATTTAATCAGTTTATTTTGTTTGATGTAGTCCTCACTGGGAAGATACCCAGAAACTCTGGCTGCTGATTTATGTTGACTTCAGATGAGATGACGACTTCTTCTTGATGTCTGGATGGCAGTTCCTAAATGCTTGGGTGGAATTTTACTCGGCATTAGGAATTACATCTTTGGGGGTTTTATTTACGGCATCTTTCAGGAGGGGAAATACTTATCAAGACTGCTAGTAAGAAAGTGACTCGGTCAGGAAACAAGTAGTGTGGAATATTGTCCCTGAGACAACGGGACCTTCTCACCTGTGGACACCTTCCTGTGTTCTGTCCATGCAATGAAAGCACATGCTACCATGTCACAGAACGTTTGCAATCAGTGCGGCTCACTTGATGGTTGTCGTTTTCTGTGCCGCTGCTGAGGTTTGAAGTCAGGACCCTACACTCATCTTGGCGTTTTCATTCAAAGTTGATGTTCTCCTAGTTGTGCCATACCTCCACTCCCTCCTTTTTGATGGTTAATCGGAGGTAAGAGTCTCATGGACTTTCCTGTCTGGGCCAGCTTTGAACCATGGTCCGCAGATCTCAGCCTTCTGAGTAGCTAGGATTATAGGCGTGAACCTCCAGGGCCTGGCTCCAATATGGCTTACTTTTGTGTCCTAACCAGCCCTCACCTTCCCTGTGCTCCACTTCATTTTCTCCTTTGACCCTCATGGCAGGCTCATGGGGGCCAAGATCATGATCTCTGCACTGGAGACCTGACTCCTAACCTTGCTTGGAGTCACACAACTAACGGGCTGTGTGCTGTACCCAGTGTACTTAGGCCTATGACCTGGGCCCAGACACTGGACTACAGTGTCCCTTGTCACTTGAAACAACTGTAGTCACCTTCCAAAAGCATCAAGTAGCTAAAAATGCAGTTTTCTCGGCCTGTTGCCAATAACACACCTGGTCCAGTAACATAGCCATCCTGAGAACACAGACTTAGCACACACCTGGCTGAGAACGCACACCGAGAGCATATTTAGCCTAAGAACACATACCTAGATGGGAAACACATCTGGTCTGAAAACCCAGACTTAAGACAGTGAACCCTCGGCCTGCAACTCCAAACCACAGTGAGGGCTGCTGTAAGTCTGGAGGGAGCGGGGATCCAGTGGCCTTTGTAACAATGGCTCCTTGGCCAGGTCACCCCCATGGACCACAGACCAGCACTTATGTTCTTAGAGTTAATTTCTCAGCTCCAGAGCTGCAGGAGGCATTCACACCATTTATTGTTCCTGGGAAAGTCATGTGGCCGCCACTGCCCTGTGCCAGCTCAGGGTGAAAGTGGCAAGTCATGGCCGGGCCCATCCAGCTCCGGGAGAGCTAGGTGTCGAGGAGCTGTTGAGAATATAAATGTCTTAATTACCTGCAAACTAAATTTCATAATCAAATGCGAGCTGTAAATATATAAGTCTTATATTTTTAGATTGGCGATGTAGACTCATCTCTGCATATATACTGGTTTAGATTAATAGCTTATATAAAAATGTTCATCTCAACTTACAGAAGTGAATCATGGGAGCAACTAAATGGCTAACAATAGGTAAAACAGTAAAGTAAATTATGATGTGCATTCACTCAGGGCAGCCATTAAAATGATAATTATAAAGATTATTTAGTATCACAGAAATCCACTTAGGAAATAATATTAAGTGGAAGAAAATAGTCTACCAAATTTTATTGGAGAAACGAACAAAAGTAGTCATGCACTGCTATTAAACCCTGTGATCTGGGAGAGATTTGTTTGTTCCTATGTTTCCAATTGGCGGGTGCAGTGTCCTCGCCTTGCTTTGTTAGTTTCTAGAGCATGGAGCATAGGCGGTACTCACCTTGAGTCCCCGCAAAGCATGAACCCGTGTTAAAATGAGAAAAACCCCGAAAGGGACAGGTGTGGGGAAAAGCAGTATCTTTTATTATGTTGGAGGAGGCCTGAATAAGGAAAGAAAAGGAATCACAAATAACTACAGAGCATGTCTGCGACCTTTGTACATAGATAGTAATA